AGTCTAAGTGACGTACAAATCAATTATACTCAATATTCTAAGTGACGTACAAATCAATGAAAAACATGTTTATTTTGAAAGAGCTGTCAAAAAGTACATATGTACAGAAAAGAACGTATGCTACACTTAATTCTTAGTGCTGTTGTGCTTTATAGATGTAAGGGCCATTGGTATAGTTGTCAAATTCCGTAAAAACATATTTCACAAGCGAAAAAATATACAATGATGGAAATTAAATTAATTTACAATGCTCCTAAAGTAAGTTTAAACATGCCTGCAACTGTAGGCGAAAGTTTGTAAACAAATACTTGTTCGTATTTCAAAACAAATATCAGTTGCACGTGTTTTGGTCTATTATTAGATGAAAGCAAAGCGAAACTAGCCGTTTTCCCCAGAATGCATCATATTAGGAGGACGTATCATTACTAATGCGCATGCGTAATATAGAAGATGGCGACCAAAACAGATGGACTTCTAGTTGCATTTTTGTTTATTTATTTTATACGTAAATGCCATCCCGCTGACGGGTTCCTCGACATAGAGGAGCTCAAAAGTGTGCATTATGGGTTGGATATTATCAGTGAACCAGTTGTTTCGACGCAAACGGTAATACATTCATAAATGTCTGCTTATTCTCATACTAGGCCTTACGGCCATCCGTAACGTTACCGTGATCAGCTGGTAAAACACACGTCCAATACACAGGTGCTCGGGTTCTGGAATATATGCGATATATAATCGCACCCACTAGATATCGCACCCCCTTATACTAATAAATCATATGAGGGGGTGCGATATCTAGTGGGTGCGATTATGTATAACATATATATTCCAGAACCCGAGCACCTGTGGCCCAATACATAGGTGCAGCACCGGTGCTCCATTTAAGCTAACCACACTTGCCTTTTATCATATTGTGAACATACTCTTACCTTCGCATGTTCTGATGAAAAAATTGTAGGTTACACGTACATGTTGATACAAGTGAAATAAAATATGCAAGGCCTAGTGTACATGTATCATAGAAAAAAAGGAAACAGAAATCTATAAGGTATTTAATGTTACACGGCCACACTTACTCTCTCTCATACAGACATTTATTGTGTATCTGAGTATGAAGTTTGACTGACAAAGAACATGTTTCAGAAAACCATTTGGCATTTAAATCTGTGATATAATATGAGCCTTTGTATATTGATTATCTTCAGGACACGGCTAGCTCCAGTAACAACATACAGGTCACCTCAAAATATGGGCAACACTACCGATGTAGTTTTCCTAACAGAATGGAAGCAGACAAGAAGAAAGAAGAAGAGGAAAAAGTTGCAATGGAAACAGGGATTCCTGAATTGTTAAAACCTTTAGAAACAGGACCATGTTTATTCAAAGTTAGTTCTTTGTAATAAAACATAAGTTATATGTTCTTAAGTGGGCTATTTAGTCAAACAACACCCTAAAAAATCTATTGGACACTGGAAATAAATACATCTCCTAATGAGAGTGTACATACAATGGCATGACCTGAAGACAACATCCAGTGTGGTAATTAGTTTTATCTTTTGGGAAAGCCGATGATAAACACATATAGCTACCATCAAAATAGCCCAACATCCGTGCCTTTCATTTAGAAGAAAACCCGTACCATGCTATCTACCGACAGCACAGTGATTCTGATTTCACACATCTATATAACAGACACGTAAACCCAAACAATAAATATGTCAAGAAGAGTTTAATTATGAAATTTGATATTATTACATGCATGGCAATTAAGTTCAATGCTTGCTTTTTCAGAACAAAGATTGGTGGAGTTATGAATTTTGTTATGGGAAATATATCCGACAGTTTCATATTGAAGGTATGTAAACATGTAATGATGTACACTGTACTCAAATGCAAGTAGTTAAATTTCAAAGCTGACAGCTGAATGCAATGCAGTGTTCCCATTCAGGTAGAAATGTGCGTGATTCACGCATTTTTAAAATAAATCAAGTACACATTTCGACTGCCTTATGTGACCTGCACGTGCAGGAATTTGTGTGTATGTAAATCATTATTGCACACTCGCCTGGCCTCGACGACCCAGACGGATACACACAAACAAAATGTCGGAGCAAACCATGCTGCAAGTATTTTTTTCAGTCTGCCCAAACTCTGATGCCACGGTAAAACAAATGAAAGCCTGGAAGAAACTGCACTCTGAAAACTTGCCAATGCAAAACAGAAAAATATTGAAAGATTTCAAACCGAATGGCATGAGGAATGCGATTAATATTGTTTGAGGCTAGATGATCAGTCAGAATACAGTTATCACAAAGAAATATTAAATCATCATCTTGTCGCTTAATAGAAGGTACAACAAATTAACAAACAAAGAGCACTGTTACGTCATCAGTGAATTGAAAAACACTAATTCGGTAAGTGAAATGAGAAATAAGTTAACGATCAACATAGGTGACATTTTACATATGCAGTCATCCTTGCAATGTTTTATTATCAATAGATATTATTTACAAAATATTGATCACAAAATGATAACCAATTCTGAATATGCTAATTCTCATTGTTTTTATTTTATTTATAGTTCATAAATAAAATCAGCAAAAATTGGAACCCCCAAAATACATACAAATGTACATGTACCCCTAAAATATGCTGGTGTCCCCCCATTTTGCAAACCCTGGGGGTAGCAAAACCCCAGATAGAAAAATGAGTGGGAACGCTGCAATGAATAGTAATACATTTACTTTTGTATGTTGTATTCAGTTTTCAATGTTTTAAAATCCACAAAACATTTCAATTTCAACCAGTGAAAAGGATTTAATGCACACACAGGTATGGTTATCATATGTATAAATTATTATTATGTATCATGTATTTAACTCTGTAATTTCTATTTCGGAATTAATAGTGATAGTTTCTGTTACAAACAAACTGTATGAAATGATAAATGCAGAATCAAATAATTAGTCAAAGAGTCAAGAAGCTTTATTAAACGTCGCATATACCTGTAACACAATAACATTAGCACTGTAGTGCTATTCTTGCGACAGAACATATATAAAATTTAACAAGTATCACAGTACTTGTGAATATATATATATATATATAAAATAACAAGACAACAATTGAAATTAGATATGCTAAAAATATACAGTAGAGCATATGAAATCAAAAGTAATTTAATAGTGAACACTTGAATGTCACACAAGTAATATAAAACACAAGTTAAGACTATCATGGTGTAATGTACATATATGCTAATGTAGCAAAGCGTAAAAATGTACAGGATAAACACTAATAAATTATGAATTAAAAAGAGACAATGATGTCATAGATTGACACAGAGCTATAATTATGATATTCATTTTAGAAAGTAATGATCTCTTAAACAATGGAGCTCAAGTCTAAAATAAATATCATATATATAATAAGTAGAGTACTGAAGTATATTAAAATAAATAACAAAAGCAACAGTGAAATTAAAGAGTTGTAGTAGAAAACATGTAGGTAGATTCCAAAGGGGGACAACTCACACTATATGGTGTGTGCAGATAGCACATGAGCAGACATTATTGTCCCAGGTGCGAAACAGCCCACGAAATGACTTATAGTTTTCAACTAATCAAAGTTCATTTGGTAGGCTGTTCCACACCTGGGAAGCAGCAAAACGGAAAGATCTCTTACCATATGTATGTGGTGGTGTTCACCTTTGGGATCTTTACCACGTTATCTTGTCTCAGATTGTAAAAAGAATCTTTCCTCTGAAAAAGATTTTGTAAAATTGATGGAGAAATATCATTTAAAATTTTACAAAATCTTGTTGAGAGGCAAGAAGTTTTTTACAATCTGAGACAAGATAACAGTATGTATTTGTTTTCATAACATAAAAAAAACATTACAGTAGAAATTAAAAAAAAAAAAAAAAAAACCTTTACGATTAGCCAATGAATTTATATTATAATTTTTTTTAGCAAAACAACAAAAACAAAATGAAAATTACGTTGGATTGAGGATATTCCATATGTTAATTTCATAATAGAATTTAAAAAAAATGTGTGATGAAAAATGTATACAAGAAATATGTGAGGTAAAATATGTTAATTTACTCAGATACAAATGAAAGTAAAACAGATCAGATGTTAATGACATTTAATTACCGTAACACTTACATTTTTCTATACTTCATTTTCAGATGGTAAGATAGTTGGTGAAGTAACATTCCTAGGATATTATGAATCTGAATTTGATTGGAACAACCAAACAGACCAGGTAGGTTATCTCTAAAGTTTGGTCTTATTTACACCTCTAAAAAATATTGCTCCTTTTTAGAAAAAGATTCTGTTATATAGAGTGAATTTTATATTTAATTTCAACCAAATATTTCATACAGAAATTCAAAATGCTTCTTGGAATACAACATATTTGATTTCCATGACATCCTAAATAATTCATTTATCAGGTGTCAGATTTGATTTTTGGTGTCTTGTTTTCCAGGGCAGACACTTCTTTCTTAATTGAAAATGTTGTGTCATGATATATTGCTGATAATGTGTTAAACATTTAAAAATAAATTCACTTGAATTATTATAAGTCTTACTTAACCATCAAATTTAGTTAATCTTCCTTTATTTGATCTTATCATGCATTAAAATTATAACGATGTTCCTATATGGTGTCAGTAATACATGTTAGTTGTCTTTTTTACAGGACAAAAGAGTGAAAAACTATAATAGATTAAATAGGTACCACAGTCAGCAATACATAAACGGCACACGTTGTGATCTGACTGGTCGTCCAAGGAAAACGGAGGTTAGGGTGAGTATACTCCCAGCCATCTATGAACGGTCTGATTTTATAAAATTTGAGATATTTCATTCTGCTAAATGATAATTTTTAGGCACTGGAGATGTAGATACTTAGTAACAATTATACCATGTTAGTATGGGCTCTATCTATAACCTAAAAACTTGCATTCAGGACAGTTATGATTGCGGATATGTTTACCGAATTCCTGATCAAGTTGCAATGTGTTGCAGTTAGTTTCTCAAATGGTGGGAATGTGTTAGGGTGGATAAATATTTGTGGCATGTGTGAGCAGTTACTATTACCACTGCAAAGACTTCATTGGTTTCCCAGCAATATGTCTTTGGGGAGTATTTAAGGTAATTATTAGTCTCCCAACGGTTCCCAGTGGGTGGGTGTGGTGGGGTGGGTGGGCTTTTGGTTTGCACTCCGTCCGTCCGTCCAAAAAGTTTGTCCAGGACAAATCTTCTATACGAATAATATCAATAAGGCCTCACTGTGAACTATGCTTTGACCTTTGCCCTTAACTTTTGAAAAAGTTTGTCCAGAGCATATCTTCTGTATTATTTCACCTGGAGTAAATAGATTTGTTGTACACTGACATCTTGGGATGGCAGAGTGCAGAGTGCAAGAATTTGGTCACTGTGACCTTTGACCTTTACTTTTGAAAAAGTTAATTTGTCCAGGCATATTTTGTACTATTTCACCTGGAGTAACAAGATCAGGTGTACAAGGACATCTTCGGATGGCAGAGTACAAGAAGTATGTATCAGGATATTTTCCTAACGTAGATACATCCAGACATAAATGTGCTGTTTGTTAAATATAGAAATCATTATACCGGTGGGGGACTAAGGATTGCCTTGCAATACTTTGTCTTGTTTATAGAAGAATTGATTACAGGATCATTCTGTGATGTTACAGTTTGTCTAAGAGAAGGATTAAGTAGGCAACTATTTTTCCTATGATGTTACAGTTTGTCTGTGAGGAGGGAGCTGGTGATACCATTTCCCGTATTGATGAGCCTGAGACATGTGTCTACATACTCAAAGTCCACACCACCAAGATCTGCCACCACCCTTACCTGAAACCTCCGACCAAAAATACTCCTGTTCCTATCACCTGTCAACCTCTTCTCTCAGAAATACAGTTCACAGAGTACAAACAGCAACAGCTTGGTAAAGTTTGAAAAATTAATAATATCACTTGTTTAACTCTTTTTTTGTTTATTTTATTGGGTTACAGATCTTACCTTTGTTTATGCCGTGTTAAAAATCTCAGGTATTTACAAAGGTGTATATGTTTTGCATGGATTTTGATGAAACTTTACACACATGTTATACCTCAAATGAGTTTGTGTCTCCCAGACTGCTGATACTATCCTTCAATATTTTCCAGAGTTATGGCCCTTGACTTCTGTAGACAGTATATTACATTACTGAAACGGCTAATTATCTCTGAAATGGTAGGTATTTTGTATACACGTATACATTGGAATGGTGTAGGTATTAATGAAAGCTACTCTTCTGACAAACTTCTGAGGTCATGGGTCAAAGGTCACAAATGAATTACGTTACTGAAATGGCTAAACATTTCGGAAACAGTAGGTATTTTGTATACACATAAACGTCAGAATATTGTAGGGATTAATGAAAGCTACTTCACTGACAAAGTTCTGTTGTCTTGGGGTCAAAAGTCAAAGGTCATGAATGAATTAAGTTACTAAAATGACTAAACATCTTGGAAACGGTAGGTATTTTTTAAACACATACGTATACATTGAAATTTTGTAGGAATATAATGCAATCTACTCAAAGGACAGCTTCTGAGGTCGTGGGGTCAGAGGTCAAAGGTCACAAATGAATTACATTACTGAAATGGCTAAATATCTCGGAAACAGTAGGTATTTTGTATACACATTCATTACAGTATCGCAGGCTATATTGTGACAAACTTTGTAGGTCATGAAGTCAAAGGTCGTAGGTCACAGATGCATTATGTTACTAAAATGGCTAATTATTGCAGAAATGGTAGGTTTTTTATATAGACATACCTTGGAGTAAATGTAGCATTGATGCAAGCTACATTGCGACAAAATTCTGAGGTCATTGAGTCAAAGTTCACCGTAGTGGTGTTTGTCTTTTTCATCGGTCTATCGGTACGACATCTGAGGTTAGACTTTTTCGTGACCCTTGATCTTTTATCCCCTACAGGGGCAGTAAGCAGCCAGAATGCTTATTAGTTAGTTAGCCCATAGGTGACAGTTCTAGTGTTCTTTGGCTCAATCATAAGTCTTTTGTACCACATCTTGACTTTACTTTAAGCTCTATTATTCTAACACTAGGAGTCAAACAATCATCTTCATATATGGATATATTTTATGGAGTACTACTTCACTGTATAAAAAATAGTTCTCTGTGACATATATTCTACCTAACATCTTTGATCTTTGTTGATGAACCAAGGAAAATGTATGTTAAAACATAAAACAAAATATGGATTGTTTTGGTAAAATCTTCATTTAATTATGACCAACACAAAACTTGTTATTAGGATGTTCTGCTCGTATTTTTAGCTCACCTGGTCCAAAGGACCATGGTGAGCTTATGCCATACCGCAGCGTCTGTCGTCCGTCCATCCATCTGTCCGTCAACTGTTCCTTTAAAACACTACTTGTCCTGAACGGCAGATTTTGATTAAATTTGGTCTTGAGCATCCTTCCGCCAAGGGGACTCAATTTATAATAAATGGAGTGTGTGCCCCCCCTGGGGGAAGAGGGGTTGGGCCCAATAGGGGAAATAGAGGTAAAACCTTTAAAACCCTTCTCCTACCGTAGGAATTAAGGGATTTTATCCTAATTTAGTCTGGAGCATCCTTGGGCCAAGGGGACTCAATTTTGTATAAATGTTGGGTCTGGTCCCCCAGGGGGCTGAGGGGCGGCGCCCAATAAGGGGAATATAGCAAATTCTTAAAAATCCTTTTTCTTCTGTAGGAATGAAAGGATTTGTTCCATATTTGGTGTGGAGCATCCTTGGGGGAAGGGGAACCAATTTTGTATAAACCGTGGGTCTGGCCCGCCAGGGGGCCGAGGGGTGGGGCTCAATAGGGGTAACATAGCAAAATATTCTTTAAAATCCTTCTTCTTCTGTAGGAATAAAAGGATTTGTTCCATTTTGGTGTGGAGCATCCTTGGGTGAAGGAGAACCAATTTTGTATAAACCGTGGGTGTAGCCCGCTAGGGGCCTGAGGGGCAGGCCCAATAGGGGAAAGATAGCAAATTATTCTTTAAAATCCTTCTTCTTCTGTTGGAATGAAAGGACTTGGTCCATATTTAGTGTGGAGCATCCTTGGGTAAAGGGGAACCAATTTTGTATAAACAGTGGGTCTTGCCCTCCAGGGGGCTGAGGGGCGGTGCCCAATAGGGGAAATATATCAAATTCTTTAATATCCTTCTTCTTCTGTAGGAATGAAGGATTTGTTTCATATTTTGTCTGAAGCATCCTTGGGTGAAGGGGAACCAATTTTGTATAAACCATGGGTCTGGCCTCCCAGGGGCCTGAGGGGCGGGGCTGAATAGGGGAAACATAGCAAATTATTCTTTAAAATCCTTCTTCTTCTGTAGGAATGAAAGGATTTGGTCCATATTTGGTGTGGAGCATCCTTGGGTAAAAAGGAACCAATTTTGGATAAACAGTGGGTGTGACCCCCTGGGACCAGAGGGGCGGGGCCCAATAGGGGAAATAGAAGTAAAACCTTTATAATTCTTCTACCATAGGGATTAAGGGATTTTATCTTAATTTAGTCTTGAGCATCCTTTGGCAAAAGGGACTCAATTTCGTATAAACAGCGAGTGTGGCAGAAGGGAGGGGCCCAATAGGGGACACATAGCAAATTCTTCAAATACCTTCTTCTGTACGAATGACAGGATTTTGTCCAAATTTGGCATGAAGCATCCTTGGGTGAAGGGGAACCAATTTTGTATAAATGGTCTGTCTAACACCCCTGGAGGCAGAGAGGTGGGGCCCAATAGGGGAAATAGAGGTAAAACCTTCAAAATCCTTCTTCTACCATAAGGATTCAGGGATTTTATCCTAATTAAGTCTGGAGCATCCTTGGGCCAATGGGACTCAATTTTGTATAAGCAGTGGGTGTGGTCTCCCAGGGGTTAGAAGGGCGGGGCCCAATAGGAGAAATAGAGGTAAAACCTTTAAAATCATTCTAGTCTGGAGCATCCTTGGGCCAAGGGGTCTCAATTTTTGTTATAATTGGTTGGTATGCCCCCCCCCCCCCCTACATAAGGGTGGGGCTCTGGATCTGTACTTACAGCACCTACCAAGGAGTGCTATACCTTTACTTCAAACCAATTATTTTAAACATATTCAGGTGAGCGATACAGGCCCTCTGGGCCTCTTGTTTAAATAACCATATTCATAATTAAGTTTTAGAATTTCATTCATTATAAATAGAACAACAAAGACTTAAAGAAGAGAGTGAAAGAAAGCTGAAAGAAAAGCAAGAACAAGAAAAACAAGCAAGATTGAAAAGGCAGAAACTTCAGCAGGAACAACAAGCAAAATTAAAGGAACAATCAGGTAAATTAGTGACTGATTTGAAGTGGAGTTGAGTTATATATCATATTCAGAATTGTCGCCTTTGTTTGTATACAGGCAATCGTGTTATTCTGTATCTATATAATTACCAACCTGAAGAAAACGTTTCGGAAGAAAGAAAAGAGTTATGGGCCTTGTTAAATTGACTGAATGAGGGATAAGATTTTTTGTTAGGATATTAATTTATCTTGCCTACTATAAAAGCATCATATTTTGTTTGGGATTTAATTTCGTTTATTTCATGGTTTTATAAAAACCATGAAATATAATCCCAACTAAATTTGAAGCACACACGTTATAAACTAAGCGAAAATATGAAATAAACTATTAATTTAGTTACAAATCCATGCTGTATTTACATGTACATTGAGACAAGATTCATGATAAACGGTGTAATTATCGTCACAGGCACAGAGGTAGTAAACACTGATAACTTTGTTACACAGTTATAATTGCATCACTCTTTCTATGTAAACTATAGAGCATGACGGATTTGACTGATACCCATCAGGTGAGTTTATCTCGCCCGGTCTTACATGTACCTGGCAATTAAGTCGTGCGGTGAAATCAACTTGTATAGAAACAATAACAAAAAAACCCACTAAATTTTCCCTTTTCAATAATAATCTAATATTATGTTCAAAGAAATTTCAAAGGAGACACGGGGAAATCAACTTCTAATGCAATAGAGAAACTATTGACTATTGCTTAAATTATTAAAAACACACGTCTTCCTTCTTGAGTAATATTTTTATTGAAATCGGCATGACTTTCTCACATGATGTGTCAAGGTAACCGTGATTATTTATGAAATTCATGCTCGTATTCTTATCAGAATTTGTGTTATAAAATGTTGGTAGGCCTAATTATTTCCATCCAGATAGCTATTAACTACCACACATGTTTGTTCAGACTAAATTATATGACCATCGAGCGATGGTCGATATATTGTTTTCCACTGACTGGGTTGTACGAGGTGTACAAAATTCACCTGGAGTGGACAGGTGATCAACTCGAGCGATGTATAGCTATCCGGACCTATTGTCTTATTGTCCAGGTGTCAAACAAATATAAATACAGGGTTTAAAATTGTTGATTCCACAAAATATAATCCCAACGAATTTGTCCCAAAACAAAAACAAAGAAATTTAACCCCACCGAAAATATATGCTTTTACAGTAAGTAAAGACAACAAAAATTGAAAGATTTTTTTTTTCTTTTTTTCTAGATAAATCATCCATACAAAAAATGTTAAAATCACCTGATATCTCCTGGAAAGATGAAGATTCTCAAAGGCATGTGTCAACAGTAACAGATCCAGAGGCTGAGCCAGAAGATACAAAGTTGGGGTCAAAAGATACACAGACAGGGTCAGATTCTGATGATGAGAATCTAGAAGAATTGATGGGATCATCACTTGGTAACAACAAACAGCTTGAGAAACTTCTCAGAAATTCTTTAAATGAAGCCATGAAAGAACACACAGAGGAAGGTAACTGCATGGTTTCTTTACAAACACCCTTTTGTTCCACTTTTGTTCCACTTTTGCCCCATTTCTCCATTGCAAGTTTGATATCTGTAACTGTTTGTGCAGAACAAGGCTTCTTTTGTTTGTTCTGTTTTTGGTTTACAAAGTTTTTTGCTTAATAAATAGCAATAGACCAAAGAATTAACTTGAATTTTTCTCCATTGTCCAAAATTGTATTATATTAGCTCACCGGGTCCGAAGAACCAAGGTGAGCTTATGCCATACCGTGGCGTCCGTCGTCCGTCCGTCAACAATTTCTTTAAACGACTTCTTCTTCTTAACCACTGATTGGAATTTAACTAAATTTGACTGGAAGGATCCCTAGGTGATGGGGATTCAAAATTGTACAAATGGTGGGGCTGACCCCCCAGGGGGCTGAGGGGCGGGGCCAAAAGCAGGCAATTTGGCTATATTGCCTAAGCGACTTCTTCTCTGGAACTAAGAGATGGATATCAACCATATTTAACTGGAAGCATCCCTAGGTGGTGTAGATTCAAAATTGTACAAATTTTGGGGCTGACCCCCCAGGCTAAGGCGGCCAAAATAAGTTTATCACTCGGAAATGGTTGAGATCCCAACCATATAACCATAACTATGGGTCATAACTTCGAAATGGTTAAGATCCCCACCCCAAAACTAAATATACAATTGTTGGGCATAAAGAGACAAATGCAGTCATGATATTAGAATTGATCCCAGGGTCTGCCCCACCTTTGCAGACTTAATAAAATTAATNATAAAGAGACAAATGCAGTCATGATATTAGAATTGATCCCAGGGTCTAAATTAACCCCTGGGTCATAACTTAAAAACGGTTGAGGTCCCCACCCCAAAACTATCTATACAAATGCTGGACAAAAAGAGAAGAATGCAGTCATGATTTTAGAATTGATCCTGGATTGGCCTTGGGGTCTGGCATATTTTCTTGGATCTCATTTGGAGAATATTTTGCCATGATTGCTTAGATATCCAGGTGAGCGATACAGGCTCTCTGGGCCTCTTGTATTAACAAAAAATGTATATCTGAATTATCCCTGTTCTATGTAGAAATATGCACTGCCAACTAGAGATCGTTAGTGGATTAGTTTTACTTGCATTGAATCGCTCAATCGTAAGCTGCCAATTGGTTCATGAACTGGAAAAATATTAATATATTTTATTTTCTATGTCATCCAAAACTCCCACCACCTTATAAATATTTGTCCTGTGATGTAGAAAAGGGGCGTGGATTGTGCTGGTTGTCATGATATGTGCTGTGTTTGACAGAGGGGGATGCCAGTCTGAAGATGAAGCCTCATAGTGTGAAGGTTGTACATACCATGGACGAACTAAAGGAGGCAGTGCAGAAAGCTCAGGGGGATGCTGAGGCCTACCTGCAATCTCACAAGGAAGAGGAGGAGGAAGGAGAGATAGGCACGAGTACTGGAGCAGAATTAGAGGATGATTCTCTTCAAGACAAAATGTAAGAAAGCTCACGCATGCAGCATAGTAAAAGTGTATGATCTCTATATTGAAACAAAAAAATAATTAATAAAAGAAAAAAATAATGTTATTTAATAAGATGCATAACAATTTGTGTAGAAAAAAAACTAATTTTAACCACAAGGCATTTGTTTTATTTAGTCCTTCAACCACCGTGAACATACCACAGTATAGTGTCTGGTGTCAATCTTATTACACATGCACATTCATTTTCACTGAATGTGCATGTAAATGAAAAATAAATATCTTAAAAATTGAGTGTTTTAGATGGAAATGGTGTAAAAGACACATTATTTCTTTTTCTTCTTTAGGTTTAAGCTGAAGAAACTGGGTGGTGTGCCACATGAGGAATTTGATGAAGATTTTGATGAAACGGAATTGGACATGATAAAAGAATTTAACAAAGGTAAAGATGGTAGCGATTATTGTCAATTTCCTTCATAGTTCAGAGCCGAGGTACAATGTCCTCCAAATTTCAGGGCCAGGGTACAATCGTATTTTAAGTTCAGGGCCAAGGTACAATCGTATTTTAAGTTCAGAGTTGCTGTACGCAACTTTATCATGTAGGTAGTAATAATTGTTGTAAGAAAAAATCTTGTCCAGGGTATGTTGAACATCTGATAAAGATATCCAGGTATTATTTTTTGGTCCCTTTGAATCCTACTGTAGAACAATATAGGAGCATGCTAATTTATTGGTTTGTATGTGTCCGCCTTTTCCTTTGTCCAACACAGATCCTATGGTAACATTTGATCAGAATGGGTTAGAAATTGTACAGAAAGAATGGGCGACAGGACCCTAGTGATATCCTGCAGCACCAGCTAAAATGTGACAAATATGGACAAACCTGTAGTATTTATTTGTAATTTTTATACGCCTGTCAAATTTGACGGGAGTATTTTGGTATTGCATTGTCCGGCCGTCCGGCCGTCCGGCCGTCCGGCGTAAACTTTTGTTTGTCCGGTAATCTCCTCCTACATTTTTCGACCGATCTCTTTGAAACCTGGTATACATTATAATCATGATATGAAGTTGTGTCTCCTTCAAAAGAATTTTGATTCAACAATTTTTCCAAAGGTTATTGCCCTTTGTTCATTTCAGTATTTGATTTTTTGTCCGGAGATTGCAACCTGCATTTTTTTAAAGATTTCTTTGAAACTTAGTAGGCTAAATAATCATGATATGTTGTTGTGTTTCCTTGAAAAGAATTTTGATTCAATGATTTTTGCAAAAGTTATTGCCCTTTGTTCATTTCAGTATTTGATTTTTTTATCCGGTGATTTTCTCCTACATTTTTATAGCATGTCAGCTAACCACTCTTTGAATGATGCAGATCTTATTTCAATGTAAGAAAGTATATAACACTATATGGCATTCGACGGGCGTATATTGTTTCACCCCACGGTACTCTTGTTATAAATGTACAAACCTTTGGTATTTATTAATGGGTGAACATGAAGTATTTAGAATGGACAACCTTGTAATATTTATGAATGAACCAACCTGTAGTATTTAAAAATATAAACTTTATTTATTTTACAACAATTAAATTTATTTCAACTTATATTATATTAATCACTCTTGTTGGCCCGGATGTTAGCGCTTTGGGGGTCTTAGTGTGGGAGTAAACCGGAGTACCCGGAGAAAACCCACGTGGTCGGGCAGGTGACCTCAACCTTTTCACGTCCAATCGGGGAATCGAACCCTTGGTGAAAGGCAACTGCGCTATCCACTGGACCACCCGACCACCTGACCACCTGTAGTATTAATTTAGAATAGACAAACCTGTAGTATTTAGAATAGACAAACCTGTAGTATTTATGAATAGATATACAAACCTGTGATATTTAGAATAGACAAACCTGTAGTATTTATGAATAGACAAACTTGAAATTATTTATGAATAGATAAACCTGTAGTATTTATGAATAGACAAACCTGTAATATTTATGAATGGACAAACATGTAGTATTTAGAATAGACAAACCTGTGGTATTTATGAATGGACAAATTAAACCTGTGGGTTTTTTTAATGGACAAAACTGTAATATTTATGAATGTCATTTCCTTTTCAGATTTAGAAGAAATGGATACATTGAAGCTATCACAGTATAAAGAATTCTTTAGAAAAAATAAAAAACGATTTCTGTCTGTGAAGAAGAGAATCCAAGAAAGCATGATGCAAGAATTTGATAATATCATCAGTGAGGTAAGAGGATCACGCATAAATTCAGCTTTGTGTATGAATTGATTTATGTACAAGTAAATCAACGATGGATTAAAACTGATTCCAGGGTTTCAGATGGATATTATTGAAACCATGCTATTGCTACATATCCTCACTGATCCTGTTAAATGCAGTATACTGACTGGTAAGGAATTTTAGTGTTTAGGATGACATAATGCCTTGAACTACTTGTAGACAAGAAGTCATATCTAAGGTTACATATGTATGTGACCAAAGCAACATGTTGACAGGAGGTCATATCTGAGGTTACATATGTATGTGACCATCATGTAGACAGGAAGTCATATCTAAGGTTACATATGTATGTGACCAACATGTAGACAGGAAGTCATAATAAGGTTACATATGTATGTGACCAACATGTAGACAGGAAGTCATATCTAAGGTTACATATGTATGGGACCTGTCATTTAAGGACGTGTCTCCATGTGTGTAGTGTATGCGTGCTTGCGTGTGTGTATGCAGGAGACAGGGTATGTTGGTATGCTTGCCTCTTTGCGATTGTACGGATCTGATGCCGACTTTATAGTGCTATCTCTAAAAACCATACCGAAGGCACCCAGCACAGCATTCTGCCTGGTCAAATTATACTGAGGACGGGTGAACCAGTTGTTGCCATTACCCCAAATGATGAACGTTATGCATGGAATAACAACTACCATGTTTAAGGACTTTGGTATGTCCCAGCCTGGGGACAGAACCCATTGCCTTCCTCACACGGCGAATGCTCAACATTAAGGCCAAAAGTGAAGTGTTGCCAAGCAAGGCACTAGGAAATAAAAAGTAGTAAGAAGTAGAAAGAAAGATTAAGATCCCATATACATGTATTGCAATGGGTGCAGCAGATTTATTTTGGTCGCTTTTGTGTCCCCAAATAGAGGACATCAAAGCAAATTCCCAATTCTGCTGGGGATTCCCGCATTAGTCGCCTCCTACGATACACATGCAGTGAGTAACAGCAGGTGTATTCTTTTCCCGATCCCCCACCTGCAGGGGTGTTCTAGAAAGGGAAGTTCACCTGAGTTTTAAATGTTTAACCTACTGGAGGACCATTCTTCATTTGACCATAGCTATTGCCGGGATCTGAAACTCCGAACAAACAAAACTTAACAGAGAGGTTTATCTTTATAGACAGTGTTTGACCTACTGGTAAAAAGGGTGGAATAATCTAGTTTGTTAGTTTAACTAACTTAGTAGACAGAAGGGTTTAACCGAGGTTGTGGAATGGAATGGACCTATTTGTAGACCGTGAGGTTTACCTGAGGTTGTATTTTTACTTGCTTGTTTATGTTGGCCATGTACTTGTAAATTGTAAATAGAATTTAAATCTGATGTTGTGTATTATATTTATTCACAGGCAGGGGAAGAGCTTGGGATGACAGATGAGGAACTTAATACAGATGTAGATAGATCAGAAACATTTTCACATATGTCAAAAATTCACAATAAATTACTGGATAAATTGGATAAAACGGAAAAAGGTGAGTGAATTTTAAATATTAATTGATAAATTGACCTGTATTAAACCATAGGTTGTGAAAGTACTGGTAGAAAAGACTAAAACATTTGATCTTCTATGTAGTTGTCAGCATAGATACACGTCTTCTTGGCAGTACCCAGTATAACTTCAATATATCACACTTTTTGGATTGCCAAACTATGTACTGCCATTAATTATATCAAAACATTTTTCTCCACATTTTCTCCTCTTTGTAATGCCAAACTCCATATTAATTATGCCATTATGTTTTAAGAATAGTGGTACAAATACCCATTTGTGGGCCCTCAATAGCACTGCCTCACTAGATCACAGAATTTATCTGTAGGTGACATGCTTTTGTCATCAACTTTACAGGTGACTGGACCAAGGGGTCACTTTGCTAGTATGTAAACTAGTATGTATGCCTGAAAGATTTACACATTACCAGGTAATACAATTCCCTAAAATATTAACTGACCCAGACATTTGGTTAACATTGATGTGGATCTCAGCGATCTGTTGCAACAGATCAAAGATGAGCTTGCTCTAGTTGTATAGTCCAGAGTTCCATTTGTCCAGTGACATGGATAGGTATTTCTTACCAACTGAAGTAATATCAAAGGATGATATTACTGAGGCTGAAAAATTCTGACAATGCTGATTGTGACAAATAGCAGAACATTGAATTGAAACAGAACTTGAGCATTATATTCAAACTGACTGTAATGCATGATCTATTTAAATATTGATGTAGTGTACATGTCCATTTAAATTAATTGTCGTATAAACTGTTACTAATGTGTAATAAGAGTGGCCAATATATACTGTATGCTGGGAAATGTTTGTCGCAGTTTCACTTTCGCCTTTTTCACCTTCCGTCATGAGGGCAAATTTATCACAACTGAATATTAGTTCACAGTATACTGTGTCTGGCAATCACATGTAAAGGGCGCAACTAATTACACGGGCTCATATGGATTTTACTGGTGAAGGGCGAAAGTTTCCAGGTAAACTGTATACTGTCTTGGTGGTGTTATTGAAAGTGTACAGATATATGTCCTTACAAACATCTATCACCTGTCATTTAACAAGGACACCTAAATGTACCGCCAAACTCATACTGTGGAGTTTTTCTTGGACAAAATATGGTGGTATATATCCTGGTTACACTGTACACATGTCTTGTGTGTCTAACCTTGCAGTAGAATTCATTTTATATGTCCTATGTAGTTATTGTACTTGGTTGTGTATTATTACGTCTTTTTCAAGCATAAATATAATATTTTGAATGTTGTCATTTTCAGATATAAGGAAAGTAGATAAAGAAATAAGCATGTTGAAAGAAAAATCTTATAATTCTGACGAAGATGTAGATGAAACGGAGGATGAGAGTGATGATGAAGATGAAAATTTAGTGTCTGGAGATTTAAAAAATAAAGTAAAAGGTATGATTATTTATTTTCATGTGTTGCTTATGTAAGGAATGCCAAGTGTATTTATATACATTGAAAGAGCTTATATTACCGATAGTTTCCATTTTATGGTATAACTATAGCCTAAGGAGAACATTCAGTCTTGCTTATCATGCTAATGACATTAAAATCAATCACAAAACTAATTGTTCATGTACATATGCATATGGTCTTTTATTAAGTTAATGTCTGACCATGGGTGTACCGTACCATTGATATGTCAATATAACCCAAATTATACCATAAAGGAAAAAATCTATTTTTTTTCATATTTTAGGTTATGAAATTGAAAAAAACAGTTTGAATTTACATTTAATGTAAATCTTCATTTATTCCTAATTATAGGACCTGTAAAATCTCAAGATGATAGAGTCAAAATAAGAGTGACAAAAGTATCGAAGTCAGATTATGGATCACTACAAGCCAAACAAACAGCTGAAACAGAGAAACTAGAGAAGGAAGTGAAAGAGGGACTTAAAGAGGCAGGTCTGGACCTTGGAGGTGAGGTTATGTTTCTGGTTATACATGTATAAAGAAGTCATGTCATTCTAGGTTAAGTGTCACATTTTCTGGTCATGACAAAAATGGGTCTGGACCTTGGAGGTAACATTGTATCTCATTATATTATGTTGGTTGCTGCTTCCCTGTGATTGGCCGAAACCGGGCTAAGAACTTTTTTTTTTTTTTTACAAAATACAATGTTTACCTGCAAGTCCTGAACACCAGTGCAAGAAGTCAACAAAACACTTAATTTACTTTAACTAAAAAGAGCAGTTTTCCATGTTAAATACTGCTTGGATCATAAAGTGGTTAAAAAATGTCAGACTGAAACACAAAGACATCCAATTATCAGGAGGAATCAATTACAAGATCGGAAGTGTAGCAGATGATTCTCTCCAACAGCTCTTAACTGACTCAAATATGCAATGGACACTAAATTGACCTTAAAGTTTGCAGGATAACATTGTGAAGCTTTGTTAAAAAGCTGTGAATTATAAAAAAACATTTATCCGTGTTAAGTGTCACTTAACAAAAGAATGTTAACCTAAAAATATGGGAATTGGATCATTCAGATCATAATAACAGGTAAGTTTTGCCAATATGAAGAAGCATTATAATGCATGTTTCTTGCAAGTGATAGCTTATGATGTAACCTGGACAATAGAGGTAATGTTATATATCCTGGTCAATGAAGGTCTTAGTATTACATGTAGCAGTGTCAAAATTAGTTCCAAATTTTCCTTTTGTATAAACCTCATGACATTTCCCCCAGTTTTACTTTTAAATTTCATTAGATATTTAACTTTGTGATTTTTTTCCCTCCCAACAGGTGGGAAGATCCAGGTGAAAATAATAACAGCTGGCTACCAGGGTGATGAGGATAGTGTACATGTACTCTCTGATGAAGAGTCCAAAAGTTTTAAAAACATGATTGTCTCCATTCTGGTATGTGTTTCAAATGTTTTTTTTTCTTTTATAGTACACATTGGTACAATTATTACACAAGCACACTAGTATAATTTGTCACATATAGTTATGGTAGATTCACTCTTGAGGGTAGAATTGCCATACCCCCCATTCCTTCATAATGATTGTTCTTTTTTCCATTGTGCAATTACCTGGCATTGTTGTGAAAAGTTACATTGACATTGCCGACAGTAATTTTTCCAGATACTGTACATATAAACCAAGAACATATATCAAAAGTTAATACCAAAAGTAAATTTTAAAATTCAGCCTGTGTTTCACAGCTTGTTATTGTAATAATTGTTTTTGCTCCCTGTAGCAATTTCAGTTTATTGTGTTTTGGTGGTAAATATTATTGTGCTGATCAAAATGAATATTTAAGAATGCTTGCACATATATACATGTGTATATCACATTGTCATGCTTCAAAACATCTGATGACACGATAATGAGCATTTCCAATTCAAAGGATTATTTTGAAATCCACTTCATGATTTGAATTCAGAAAATGTATTTCCTAAACTTGAGTTCCCGCAATAATTCATGAATGTGGAAGTTTGTAGGTCATGTGACAAACTGACACCGTTATGTTGTTTCCACAGGAAGGGGACAGTGAGGCTGCTAGAGAGGAGCAGCAACACAACGCAATGGAGCAAAACTATAATTTTGTTTGGGAAAAGAATAAGAAAAAAGAAGACACTCTTCCACCTTAATTGTTATTCTGGTTAGGGTGATTTCTTTCACATAAACATTGAGGTTCATTCTTTCAAATGTCAAAACTTCACAGCAACTTAAGAAAACAGATATTGATATGATGATAAACAGTTTTTCGTAATATACAAAATTCAGTAGGTGTAATTTCCGGATTGTGATATTTTAGTAAGATGGTAATTTAAAGTGGGCTTTCCATGACCTTACTCTCTGTGGACACCATCTTCAAATGATCTTATAGCTGTTGTTAGGATGTGAAACCATAAAAGAAAATACTACATACCTCTCAAAACATTTCTTCCATTAAGATAAGACAATAATATTATAAAACAATTTATATGTCGTGACCTCACCAGAAAAAAACATAATTTTGGGTTACAATACAATAACAGGAGCATGTTGCTAACTGAAGAGCTGCTTATTGTTTTGGGGGATTCAAATCAAAGATTCTTTTTCCTTTGGGGAATTTTGATAAAAACGCAAATGATAAAATGACATTTTTGTAATGTTTGTAGATGATGAAAAATGTTTGAAATTTTAGTGAACAAAATTGATCAATATATTAATCTGGGTAATACATCTATATGTAAATAGTTTAATAGGAAAATAAATAGCACCGTTACATTTGATCACAAGAACACAGATTTTTTTTCAGGATTTTATGATGAATGTAAAGCTGTATTAAGTAAAGATTTTAAATTGTTTTTACTTAAACATGTCATTAAACTAAATCAATAATTTAGTGGAGATTGTAGTGGTCATCAGTGGAGATTGTAGTGGTCTTCAGTGGAGATTGTAGTTTTCTTCAGTCTGTAATGGTCTTCAGTGGATACTGAAGTGGTCTTCAGTGGAGTTTGTAGTTTTCTTCAGTCTGTAATGGTCTTCATTGGATATTGCAGTGGTCTTCAGTGGAGTTTGTAGTTTTCTTCAGTCTGTAATGGTCTTCAGTGGAGACAGTAGTGGTCTTCAGTGAAGATTGTAGTGGACTTCAGTGGAGATTGTAGTGGTCATCAGTGGAGACTGTAGTGGTCTTCAGTTGAGACAGTCGTGGTCTTCAGTGGTGTTTGTAGTTTTCTTCAGTCTGTAATGGTCTTCAGTGGAGACAGTAGTGGTCTTCAGTGGAGACAGTAGTGGTCTTCAGTGAAGATTGTAGTGGACTTCAGTGGAGATTGTAGTGGTCATCAGTGGAGACTGTAGTGGTCTTCAGTTGAGACAGTCGTGGTCTTCAGTGGAGATTGTAGTGGTCTTCAGTCTGTAATGGTCTTCAGTGGAGACTGCAGTTTTCTCTAAAGTGTTTTAAGCAAATGTAGTAGGACGAGGAATAGAGATAAAGATAGTGCTGTCACTGGGGCTTGGCGTTCCAAATTTGATGTGGTAACGAAAACAAAAAAGTCCGTTAGTTTTTAAAAACGAAATGATTGACTGAATTTTTCCAGCAAATCTATATCTACAATGTTATTTTGATACCAGTGAAAAGGATCAGGTATAAGGTAATTCAGCCAAGAATTTTATGACATTCTAGTCTAAAGTTTCATCAGCATTTTCACCGACTTTTGGCGGAAGTCACTCTAGAGATTTGATAAATTGTTTGTAATGAAACTAAATTGGGAGTAGGTTTTTTTTGTTCACTAATTAATTTTAAATCGACATGTATGAAATTTCTTTAACTTTGTATAAAATATGCTTGTGTAACATGGAATTGCTCGTTATTAACATTCCTTTTTTTCATTAAGTTTGCCTGAATGATCTCCCTTAACCACGATAAACAGTTGATATCGTATTTGTTATTTAAGATTAAAAAAATGATGTCAAACTCTTAATGAACGCAAGTGTAGATCTGAATTTTCGAAAATAGATTACCTTTGATTTACCACTTAACATTTTCTCCATTGTAGTGGATGTCAAGGAAATTTGTGCATAAATTGTTTTACTATTTTTACATGTAGGTTTGTATTTTTATATGGTTTTATTCGATGTATGTAAAAGATGATTCATAGTATGTGTGAGATACGGACACTTAAGTAACAGTACGCAGATCTATAGGGAGCAAATTGAATGCTTTGGTTTTCAGATGCTGATATTGGATAACAGTTGTTTGAAAGTTTAGCTGTCATTACAATGATTTAAAAAAAAATTATATAATCGTTTTCAAGTTGAGGTGCAAAAAGACAAAACCGAGTTCCAGACTAAGCGCTTTTGTCCTACCACACATACTTCTTGTGCATTACAAGACTTTTATTTTTGGTCATGATAATTGTTACCATACGCGTATGCTAGTACCGGTATTCATCGCGGTAACTCCATCTATGAAATCCAAGGGTTCCGTTCTTGGTATACGTGAACACACGTTCTCAGAAAATTACTCAAACTTAGTCAGAATCATCTTTGGTGAATGAGAGTATTACTTTGTAAAATTGGGATTCCTGCCCCCTCCCAGGGTCTAGGGCGGGGCCCCAAAGGGAACATTTACCAATATTTTCAAATTCTTATCCTTTGATGACATGACAAGTATTGTATTTCACTTAGTTTACATGCTGATTTCCACATCACATCTAAACAATAAAATAAAGCTACCAGTACCTATGATATAACTCAGGTGACTGCTGAGGCCCTTGGGCCTCTTGTTTTAAGGAGATGGTGAATGATGTGGCAACAACAGTTGGTGTATGTTTGTTTGTTACACAGGTGTTGTATAAATAAAAGATAATTTATTGTTTTTTATCTAGTCATAAGTAATCATAATTTAATATGTTTTTACAATAATTATGTAGTTACAGTAATCAGGAGTAAATTTTGTTTCCTTGATTACATAAATAAAAAAAATTATGTGCTACACAGATAAACAGTTTAGAATTGATGATATTTCAATTAAATTGGTATTTTTGTACTGGACGAGTGACACATTAATACATGAGCTGAAGAGATGTGTTACTGTGGTTGAATTGGAATGCTTATGTGTACAAACGTAATATAAATAAAAAGAATCTTACTATGAATTTATATGTCGGTCAAACTCGTCATTTACCTTTTGTTACTTATTCTAGTGTTCCTAGTTAATTGACTGATACGTAGAATTAAGTAATATAGGTAACAGTACTGAAAAGTGGGATTGTGAACTGGAACTGTAATTTATCAGCAATACTGCGAGAGTGCATTTGTCAGATAATTCATTTTGTAGCTACATATTTGTTAAACAAATGTTTGTCTTGTTTGCACTGTTTACTATATGTAGATATATATTTGCAGGGGCTATTAAAGAATTTTGAAAATAACTAAGTCTTTGTTTTTATATTACATGAAAAGGCTAATATTTAGAGATTTTATATGCTTCATATTATCCTCCAGAATTTGAAATTTAAGATAAATGAGACCTATCTTTTCCAACTCATTTCTTAACGTTTACCATTAGTAGGACAACAATAAAAACTATATGCGGACGCAAAGACCTACCAAGGGTAGAGTAGTTTCCAAAAGTTCCCCGAGTTGTCGAAATGACTTCAATTTCACATTCCTCAATAATGATATGCCAGCCGTCCTAGCTAGCTGATGGAGTGACATTCCACACTGCACTATTTTAGTGTTGACCAAAATTACAGGCTTTTTTACTTTATTTAAGATCATTGGCGACAAAAAAACCACCCAAAAACCCAATTAATTCGATGTCGGAAGCTGTTACGGTTGCAACGTTTGGTGCAGGAAATGGCCCATCCTTCGGGTGACCTCACATAGTTTCCTTTTGTTTCTATGTCTCCGCAATGTCTGGTATCGTCTTATTGAATTTGAGTTAAGATTATGTCTATATGTGTTGAGGCTGGTGCATTTTGTTACGAGAGGAAGATTCGAAAATATACCAAAATATACTACATTTGTGTTCCAATTTAAATGTCGTACACATGAGATAATTCTCTTTGCTCTGGCATCTCCTCCTACATTTGTATGTATTCATTGTTGTCTATTTATATGAACTTAATTGTCCCCAATGTTTGTACGTGTTCATGCAGTTTCTTGTGCCTTTATTGTACTTCAGATAGGAGGTGAACTCTAAAAAGCTTCTAGGATTTCAATCTCCTTCAATTCAGTATCACTATTTGGCATATATAGCTAATAGTGATTGTGTAACCATATGTGGAATTGTTAGTCTATAGTATTGTAGAAAAATATTGAACTCTGCATGCATATCAAAACTTAATTCTTCTAATATGCATTCTCTTTACTTAGATCTTACAAATTGTTTTACGTTCATGTACTAGGTATTATTTTACCTCGTATTTCCTTTTGGCTAAATTAGGAAAATGCAGCTACTCAATCTTCAGACTTTTTTGAATATGGTCGAATTTAGTACGTTATCAATATATGAGTTAACTAAAGTCTAGATGTACACTGATTCTAGAGCCTTAACACTGTTTTGAAAGTAGTAGGTATTCTTTAACACTCCTGCCACCATAGACATATACGGAAATCAGATTACACATATATATTGTAATATGGTTAGCGTATACGTATACCGCTTTCAGAGTAACAACATATCCTTATACCTATGGGGATTACAGAATATGATTTTAATCGAATTGTTGTATACGGTTAGTGTGTATATCGAGTTGTATGTCACCACCAACATGTATCAAATTGATACCGGCTGTCCAGCTATTACTTACCTTTGCAAAAACTCCTAAATCTATACTGTCGTTTTGAACAATACCACTATGGACTTTCTTGGATGGAATAAGTTACATTGTTTACAGGTCTATCCATCGACTTTCGGTCTACTTCTTAAAATACGATTATTATTGTCACCCTGGTAAAATACTAGCCGCTCCTACCGACTCGGCTAGGGAGAACTTCTCTTTATCTTATTCGGTAGAGTGTAAGACTAGTAAGCAAGTGGTCATTGGTTTGACTCCTAGCAAAGGCATTGCACAAATAATGACCTCTGTTACATTATGATACTGCCAGGTTAGTGCTCACAGTGTATGACATACTGCATTGCAATATTCTATGTATATCACCGGTGTTTCCCTACACAGATAGAGAACGTTTTTCGTTTATTATTTTTCATCATGATTGTTTAGTATTTATTGGGAATTTTGTCGTTGTTATCTGAAGCACTTTTAACAAACAACAAAATAGAATGAATTGTAATCAAAAGTATAAAACCTCAATATAAGAATGAATATCGTTATATAAGAATGAATATCGTTTTAAAATCAATTACGCGATAAAAGTGTATGATGTCGACAAGACAATGTACAAATATTTATCAAATTACATTAACATGTTTTGCTTAGAACACCTTTGTTGGCAGAGGGGCTGGACAATAAGGGAAAATAATCTGTAAGTAATTTTTTTAAAAGACTAATCCTTCAGACAAAGTTGGAGTATTGGTGTATCTGTGCATATTCAATGTAGGAACGTCCTTATTTCTCGTGTTCAGCATCCATAACACCTATGCATGCCTTACCATTTGTTACTTGTGTTGGAGTTTAATGTCTCCGTATACAGAAAAATTGACCGTAGATGTTAAAATCATTTCATGTAAAGTTAGATTCGAGTTAAATTATTCCAAATGCAGTCAAACTTCTCTGTATATAGTAAAATACAAGATGTACAGCACTGTTACTTCAAATGAAGTATAATTATAGTACGTGGAATACAATAGGATAACCCCGTATACAATATACATGTATATTATATTATAAACAATGAAATGAAAAAAAATACATGTCGAAAAATTACAAAAGAATTACGTTAAAGCATTTATGATAGGTATTGGAGATCGCTTATTGAACCCTGTATCAAGTTTCATGTGCGTGTGATCTCGTCAGGTTCTGTATATCCTGACGACGTCTCTGATGGTCTGTCGACATATCGGACAGATCTTGGTGGAACGTTTAAGGTTGTTGGCACAATTGTAACAGCAACTCGTGTGTCCACAATCCAGAAACGCCGCGTTTACAGTGTCTTCCAGGCAAACACAGCATACATTTTCGTCTGTATCCTGGGAAGGAGGAACAGGGGGTATCGTGGTTTGTGTCTGCCGCCCATTGTCCTGCTCATCTGGCCAGTCAGCAACTGTAAATGATAAAATTCAGTTTACCATAAATATATATTTGGATTAGTTCTTAAAAAGAGAATTCTGAATTGTATCTACAATCACTTAGTATCACAGAATATAAGTTTAAATTGTCCATACAACGCATGTAGCTCACCTCTGTTTCGCTTGTTGGGGACGGACGTAGCAATCCCTGCCAGCACGAATAGAATGCCGGCCATTGTGGTCACACCATAGGAACCANGTGGTTACACCATAGGAACCGTGAAGGGAAGCTCCGGATTGCCAGTAGTCCCTCCCGAACTTTGATCCGTAAACCACGGACCCTAGCAGCAATAACACACCTGTTCAAATGTACCACACCGTACTCGGTTAGCTGGATTTTAGTGTATTGGCATGGATAAACTCCGAGTCAAGGCTATTGTAAGCATCCCTCATCCTTGATATTTTATGCCAAATATACAACATTATGAGACAATTTTTTTTTCTAAAATATACAAATGACTTCTGAATTTGAGGAAAGGAGGGAAGTAAAACGACTTGATGTTGAAAGACAGATATGCAGGGAAGTGGGATAAAAAAAGTCCTGGCACAACGTGTTCATCAAACTGATTGCATGCTTACTACAAGTAGGCGGCTGAACCTTCTTTGCAACGAGATCTAAACAGCAAATAATTGGTATGGGAACGGTACCTTGACATGACTCAATATCTTCAAAACATATGAAATTAAAGGAAATAGTAAAATAATTGAGTTAGGACAAAACATTGATTTGAATTTGAATTTTTGAATCATAGTAGTCCTGCGATTCTTTTTGGAAGAGTCGAATGACCCACAGATGGAGGAACAGAGTGATCTGAAATATCCAGGTTTTGGGCGAAGATGAAAAGAAAAAAGTTCTCAAGTGATTTAAAAAGTGTCTGTTAGTTGTAAGTCCTTGTTTGGTTACGTGCTTAAACCTCAAGAAATAAAGTTTAGGCCGACCTTAAAATAAGCACCGTTAGTGATATTGTTGCCATCAGTTCCTCAAAACATACCTGACATGTATGAAGTGACGTAGCAGGCCCTCTCCAGGTTAAGTACCCTTCTAGAGTTATCTGTATCAACGTTCATCATTGAACATATGTACATCATAACTATGGCAACAGTTGACGATATCAGGCCAAAACAAAGGATGACTCTTGTGAAATCGATCCATGCTGCAACATATAAATTAGATTACGAAATAGTTTCAATTTATTTGGATACAATACAAAATCAGAGCTCGCCTACGAAAACATGCTCAGCACAGATACTAATACCCGTTGTGTTCTAATATTACATCTTTATAGGCGTTTTACCAATGATTTTATGTGCGAAATTTACAAAATGATTTGTTCCTTCCGACAACGCATTCTTAATGGCACTATCACATTCTACCTGCTATATTATCAATTTATTTTACTATGAATGACGGTTATAAACCTCAATACGACCATAGATCGTAAACGTGGCAAGATTAAAGTAGGCTACCCTTGATTTCTTCTGCAATATTTGTATAGTTTATGAGAGGCCAATCCTAAACTGACTAAGGGAAGGTCGTTATTGGAAACTATTAATCGATGGTCTGGTATATATTTGGAATACTGCTTTTCATTTTTATATAAATGAGTGTTATATGATTACCAAAATGGAAGATCACGGTATGTATCAACGTGGAGAAGAATACAACAGTAAGGACGATACCTGGTGACAACCTTACTTCTACATTACACAGTGTACTTACGAGTTATAGCTTTATAGAAATGCACATACCGAATGACCTTCATTGAGAAGATTGATATGACGGATTTTGTTGTAGACATCACATTGTTCAACTTATATCTATAGGATTAATCGCTTTTCCGTTTTACCTCTAAAATATAGTTTTTATCTTCCGCTCAACGAGTTGGCGGGGGATATAGAATGGGATCCGTCCGTCCATGCACCTGGTTAAGAAAAAATGCCCTCATCTCCATCTTGCCTACTACAAGTGCTATGTTGATTATATTTGCATCAAATGTGTATCTAGGGTTGCTCTACTGAATGCATATTGCGGATGCTGATTGTGACCTAAATTTTACGCTTCATTGACTTGGTATAATATAATTGCTCATATCTTCATGTAAGGTTAAGAGGAATTGCTCTCATCTCTATCTTGTCATCTACAATTGCTATGTTGATTATACTTGCATCAATTGTGTATCTAGGGTTGCTCTACTGAATGCATATGGCGGATGCTTATCCTCATGTAAGTTTGAGAGGAATTGCTCTCATCCATATCTTACCTACTACAAGTTCTATGTTGATTATACTGGCATCAGTTGTCTATATTGGGTTTCTCTACTGAATGCATATTGCGAATGCTGATTTTGACCTATATTTTATGTTTCATTGACTTAGTTAAGACGAATTGCTAATATTTATTTGACGCTTTATGTTTTTGATGACATTTGTACTGCGAATGGGGGATATCTTCTTGCTTGATATACATTCGGACAAAGACGATTTTAAAGGTTCCAACGTGTTTCAATTAACATAATCACTAGAATTACATAGAAAGGAAGCACCAAATTGACAAGCATGTGTGTATATAAGGACTCATCAGTGGTCCTCAAGGTCAAAAGAATAAAAATAACGTGTTAAGTGTTATCAAATGCAGATTACAGAGAACAAGGAAAGGTGCATGCATATATTGTTTGAATAAAGGGACAGAATCAGGATATCGTGGTATAACCCGTACAAACTGTGTGTATGCCCCGTCTCACGGTCATTTTTATCAGGATGTTATGCTTTACAATAGGCAGATAGTCTGTCTAATGAAAGTTGGATCCAGAGGGAGAATGATAAGCTAAATGAATATATCTAAACAAAATAAAAAATTGTTTGAAGAGAATGATAACAACAAAGTTATATGATGATCACTATTTGAAATATCGACTATATACACCTATATAATAAATCACATGGGATATGTTTCTAAATGTTTCAGAAGGATGTTTATAAACCAGACCACTGTTATATTTGACTGTCTGCGGTAACACAACCTCAATGTAATTAAAAGGATTAAGGCAAGCGAGTACTCAGTAATATTATATATTTTTATATTCACGTTACTAAATTTTGCGTTGTGTTTATTAGGTCATGATATAGTTTGTAACCGATAAAAGTGAACAATATATATCAAACAGTATGATAAAAATAGTTATAGTTGCACAATACCTGGTACTCCATCAACATTATTATCGCTCAGGTGTGAGTTGAGACTCTGACAGCACGTGAAGATACCGGAAACGACACAGTGGTTGAATAATCCTTGTTTGTCACTTGAACTTTGACCTGGACGAGAGATGTACACCCAGCCATTTGTAGAGAATCCAATAAGGAGGAAAGGATATGCAACGTTGATGAGTAAAAAGGCGAGTTTGATAACACGGGGCGTTGATAAGAAACGCTCAAAAGCTAGGACGAATGCCTCTGTTTTGCTCATTCCAGGACGCTCCGTTGGCCAGTGCAAAGCCGTTATTATTCTAGGTTTGCACTGAAAGAACTTGACGCGTTTTGTAGTTTATAAAGACAGTGTATGTTAATCATGCATTGTTTCATACAGTTTAGCTACACAATGTGCCATCTAAGTAGTAAGTCTTCGGGGAAACTTATATTCGTAGTATCATGATGCGACGTTTACAAGGAACATTTTGTTGGAGACAGCTTAAAAATTCCAATATGGCGCGATATTATATGACGTATGATCACGTGTTACATTCTCAATTGTCCTTAATACGGTGTACACATATGTATTGATGACTAGCTGTTTGTAAACAATCCTTTCTCAGACGAAGTTACGCTTTTTTCTTGTTTTCGAAACATGGCGGTCCCAGCAACAGTCCAGACAAATTGTTAATGTTTTTAATCATATAGGGTTCAGCCGTAGACGACGCCATGTCTATGTATGCTGTGTATAATATGAATAAAACAATCGGTCGAACAGCAAGTTTGTGGACTTCTACTTCATGGTTGAATAAATCGACTAAATAAAGCATACTAAATTAGCACGATTCTTTTGTCAGGAAGTGAAATCTCTGCTGTTTCCTAAAGTTCCTGTTTTTCTCAATACGCTGATAGATTGTCACACCCATGCTGCTACCAAACGAATTACATGTTTTCTATAAGAACTATAAAACTCGCGTAATGAGACAATGCTACTATGAGTCGTGACGCGTCCCGTCCTTTTATTTGTTCCAAGTTCCATGTCTATTGCTTACTTAGAAAAGTATTTGTGATCGTCATTTTGTTAACATGTATTAAAGCAACGCCAATTTATCAAATAGAACGTCTTTGAAAAAAGTTCAACACTCAGATTAAAATATCTAGTTCAGGCATGTTATATCCCGAGACATTCCCTTGAAAACAGGGACCGTCCAGCACAGTACATATTGGTTAAAAACCATATATACCATATATTCATTCACTTGTTGATATGCCTTACCTATATAAAGTATTAGAAGTCACAACCACTGAAACATTAGCTGTCGTCTGACTGTGACTTATAAGGTTTTTCATCTCGTCACTGCTCATTATCAACTAGTACATGCAATTCGCCAATTTTATATATAGAAGAATCTAGAAGAATCTAGAAGAACTTATAAAATACACTAGACTAATGTCTTTGTTTATGACGGAATAGACTGTAACCGCGTGTTCATTACAGGTGTGTGACCCAACGTTTGTGTATCGATCTATATATTATTGACTTGCTGACAGTATTTTAAAAGAAGAACTGTGACTCCTTTGTTCAACAAGCTCGACTAGCAAACCATTTTTCGAAACACAATAGCAAGTCTGGGTTCAGTGGGTCTCAATTAAATGTCTCGAGTTCGGCATTTGAAAAGAATGCTCTGTTACGCCACGGTAGGATAATTTATTCGTTAATGAATGTATGTATATTGACCTTGACCCTTTGCTGAGTATAGTATTTCCATTTTTGTCATTAGGGTTGATATATATTTTTATCATGACTTACAGACATTTTTTTTATATAATATGACGACATGCAGTCATCATGATTTTGATTCTGTTAGAGTACTGTATGCCAGCATATCAAGACGGGGAAACGACAGTCATGAAAGAAAAAAACATAAAAATGATTTATTTATTTATCTATTCATGAAAAGATGGCATATATCATAACACAAGAAGGTTTCAATAACATACTCTATTTACAGGGGTATTTGATGAAATATCACACCGACTTTAGTAATTAAGTATAATACCTTATATACTACGTGTACAATATCAAGATTTTATAAAGATTAAATGAAATAACCCAAAAGCAGGATATATATACATAAAATTAGGTCGATTTAGAACTGTAACAAGATTCGTATTACGTTTCCCCCTTCATAACATATGTAACACAAACTAGTTATTTACTTTATTAAAGCTGTTATGTACTTCTATACTTGACCGAAGACAAAATAAACATGAATATGACGACAATAAACGTGAAAATGAAGACAGGTTTTATATAAACATAAGACAGGATATGGATACAAAACTGAAGAAGAATCAACATGAATATAACTACAGGGTTTACATAAATAGAAAAACAGTATACGTAAATTTGAAAACAGGTTGTTAAATGAGATATCGGAGATTTTTACAAATGTCATATTTTAATGGCTTACTTCTAATAGCATTGTGTTATTTTTGATGTATTTTATTGTTCGCCTTTTTGTTGAGTTGACGATTTATCTAAACGCGAAAATAACACTGTTTTAAAAATAAATGCCCCGCATACTGTAAAATTCCACCGTATACAATACTATTAACACGATAAACAGTTACTACTTCTGTTAACATAAAACCACCCTTTATACAGTGCAATACCTTGTAAGTAGTAAAATTTCCTCGGATACAGAAAAAAAAACAACATGTACAGTAAAATCAACAGATACACAATAAAAATAGACTATATACGCATATTTGCCCGGAAGAAGGGTATTGGATATTACCTATTTATTACTATTTTACGTTCCAATATATTTGTTTGATTAATAATTGTTTTATTCTTTAAATCATATCTTTTTCTCAGGATTTTTTTTTGTGTCATAGGTCTACTTTTGGTTTTCGGTAGGAGTCAAACATTAAATGTACTTTTTTGGGTAACAAACTTTTTAAAGCTTGCTCTGAAGTTGTTTAAGGTCAAAAGTCTTGATATTAAATAGGCCTATGTAAGATGCTGAGATGTTAAGGCCAAACTAGTCCTAACGATGAAAAGCCCGTCAAATTGTTAGCCAATAATTTCTAGTTTTTCATTTTGATTGTTTAGTATTTATTGGATATTTTATCGATGTCAACAGAAGCCCTTTTAACATTCACAAAAACAAACGGAACTACCGAAAGTGTGACCAAAAGTGTAAAACGTCAATATAGCAATGAATGTCGTATTAAAATCAACACTCATAACATCTAGACATACCTTAACAATTGATACTTGTGGGGAGTTTAATGTCACCGTATACCGGAACATTGCACGTAGACATTAAAATCATTCCATATAAACTAAGAGTATAGCTAAATTATTCCGAAAACAGTAAGTAAGTCACATCGAATGCGATAGGATAACCCTGTATACACAAATATATTTAAGTATATACAATGAAATTGGAAAAAAATATTACTTTAAAACATAGATGACAGGAATTGGAGATCACGTATTGAACCCTGTCTGAAGTTTCATGTGCGTGTGATCTCGTCATGTTCTGAATATCCTGACGACGTCTCTGATAGTCTGTCGACATATCGGACAGATCTTGGTTGAATTTTTAAGGTTGTTGGCACAATTGTAACAGCAACTTGTGTGTCCACAATTCAGAAACGTCACATTTACAGTGCCTTCCAGGCAAACACAGCATACATTTTCGTCTGTATTCTGGGCAGGAGGAACAGGGGGTATCGGGTTTTGTGCCTGCCGCAAGTTGGCCCGCTGGACTGGCACGTCTGCAACTGTAAATGATAAAACTCAGCTTACCATAAAAATATGTAAATTAGTTCCTAAAAAGGAAATTATAAACTGTATTTTCATTTACTTAGTATCACAATATGTACGTTTCAATCGCTCATACACTGCATGACGATGATGTAGCTCACCTCTGTTTCGCTTGTTGGTGACGGAAGTAGCAATTCCTGCCAGTACGAATAGAATGCCGGCCACTGTGGTTACACCATAGGAACCGTGAAGGGAAGCTCCGGATTGCCAGTGGTCTCTCCCGAACTTTGATCCGTAAACCACGGACCCTAGCAGCAAGAACACACCTGTCCAAATATAACACACCGTACTCGGTTAGCTTGAGTTTAGTGGATTGACATTCATAACCCGAGTCACGGAATTTATAAACGTCGCTCTTCCTTCACATTTTATCCAAAACAAATATACATTATTCATATTTATCTGTTAAAAGAATTATACTGCGTATGAGACACGTATATTTGTATAAAACCCCAGAGTTAATAAACAATGATTTCTAATCCTGGGTTATAGAGTGATCAAGTAGTTTTAGGTTTACATGGCCGAAGGGTAAACAGACTTGAGGTGGAACGACAGTGAGGCAGGGAGATGGGATAACAAGACCGGCACAACGTGTTCATACTAAAAGTGTGTGGTTAAACCGTCTTTGCGACGAAATCTAAAAAGCAAATAATTAACATGGATATGGTAAACAGACATGGCTTAATATTTTGAAAAATATGACATTAAAGGAAATGTAAAAAAAAATGTCTACATGTAGCTTGAAGTAAGGAGGCACTTCGGGCAAAAGATTGAGTATGAGGTTGAGAATTATATAGTTCTATGCTTCTCTTTTGGAAGAGTCGAATAACCCAGAGATTGAGGAACTGAAAACTAACAATTTTTCTGTATTGAACGAGGACGAGTACAAAATCGTTTGAGTGGTGAAACAAAGCAGTCGGAAATTCATGGATCCTTTTTGGTTATGTGCTTTAACATCCGGAAATATAGTTTAGGCCGACCTTAAATTAGCACAGTAAGTGATACTGCTGCCCTCAATTCCTCAAAATATACCTGACATGTATGAAGTGACGTAGCAGGCCCTCTCCAGGTAAAGTACCCTTCTCAAGTTCTCTGTATCAACGTTCATCATTGAACATATGTACATCATGGCAACAGTTGACGATATCAAGCCAAAACAAAGGATCACTCTTGTGAAGTCGATCCATGCTGCAACATATAAACCAGATAACATGTAAGAAATGGTTTGAATTTATTTATTTGGAAACCATAACCTTTCGTATTCACACTGAAAATCTTTGCTTCGGTCACATGCTCAGCTCAGAAGCTAATACCCTTCCCGGTGTGTACTAATATTACTCATTTATAGGTGTTTCATTGGTGATTGTATGTACGATGTGTACACAATTATTTCTTCTTACTGCAAAAACGCATCCTTTATGGCATTTTAACTTTTTATCTGCTATGTTTTTTAAAACAAATGACGGTTATAACCTCAAGACGAACAAAGATCGTAAACGTTGCAAAATTCAAAGTCGGCTTTCCTTTAGTTCTTCTGTAATATATAAATACATAATGAAAGGTCAATCCCTCACTGATTAAGGGAAGGACGTTATTTGGAAACCATGAATTGATGCTCTGGTATTTGTTTGATATGCTGCACTACATTTTGATATAAATGAGTGTTTCATGATTAACACAAGGATGACAGCATGAATGTATCAATGTCGAGAATAATTGCTAGGTATTGATAACACTAACGGTGTAAACTGGTGAAACCTTACTTCTACATTACACAGAGTAGCAACGAGTTACAGCTTTAAAGAACTGCACATACAAATGACTGTGATTAATAAGACGAATTTCGTTGTAGGCAACTCGTTGTTCAATTTAAATGTAGGATGGAATAATCACTCTTCCTTTTTACCTCTGACAAAGACGACTTGAATGTCTACTGCAGATCGGATTGCGCAGTTGTTGGCGCACTTGTTTTTCATCAAGGCTGCTGGGTTTGATTTACCGATCAGACGTGAAAATGAGTTGGCCTCTTGCCCGACTAGGTGAGTTTTTCTCGAAGAGAATTATTTTCCTCTCGCTTTAAGACAATCTGTGTCCTTATATCCGGGCTCAACCAAAATGATCGATACAAAAAGAGAAAACATGTTTTATAGCTGTTGCAAGAACAATCAATTTTATGATACATTCGTTATTTGTTTTTGCAGAAATTGTCTATATTGACCAAACAGGATCGCAAATCTCAGTTCAACTATTTGTCCCGTTTTTCTACAATGACTTTGTAACATGTTTCTGTCATAGAATATTTTCAGTTTTTAATTATATGTTGTTCGAAAAAAGGGACAGAATATCGTGGTACAACCCGTACGAACTTTAATGTGTCTTCCCCATCTCACGGTCATTTTCGTCAGGGTTTAATGCTCTCACAATAGGCAGACAATCTGTCTTATGAAAGCGAGATCCAGAGGGAGAATGGTAAGCTTGATAAATGTATTCAAAAATTAAGTAAAACAAATTTTGAAGAGAACAATAACATCAAAGTAATATGATGTTAACTCTTTAAAATGTCAACTATTTACACCTATATAACAAATCACATGGGATATGTTTCTTTATGATTCAGAATGATGTTAATAGAACGGGCTACTGTTAAAGTTGACTGTCTGCGGCCACACAACCTCAATGTAATTAAAAGATTAAGTAATTTAAAGGCAAGCAGCTACTAAATAATATATTTTAATCTTTTATATTCACATTACTCAATTTTGCGTTGAGTTTAATAAGTAAAGCATGGGTTGTAACCGATAAAAGGAGAGCAATACATTCGAAATATGTCAGCCACTGTAAGTTAAGTAGTATAATAACAATAGATATAAATACACTATACCTGGTACTCCATCAGTTTTATTGTCACTCAGGTGTGAGTTGAGTGTCTGGCAGCATGTGAAGATACCGGAAACGACACAGTGGTTGAACAACCCTTGTGTGTAACTTGAACTTTGACCTGAACGAGAGACCCAGCCATTTGTAGAGAATCCGATGAGGAAGAAAAGATATGCGCAATTGATGAGGACAAAAGCGAGTTTAATAACACGGGGTGTGAGCCAAAAACGCTGAACAGCACCGATTAATGCTTCTGTTTTGCTCATACTTGGCATCTCGATTAGTACATTACCAAATAATGGTGGTCACGTTAGGACTGTGATATAATGTTGAAATAACTCGATGTATGTAGACAACGCAATGCTTCATACAGTTTAGCTATACAATGAGCCTTCGTAGTAGAAATTCTTCTGAAACACTTATCTTCAATGTATCATTTTGCGACATGAACAAGGAACATTTTGTTGAGGACAGCATGGAAAAATTCCAATATGGCGCGATGCTGTATAACGTAGAATCGCCTGACTGATATATATCAAATGTCAATACTCTGGTGTTGGAAAAGTTAATCTAGCTCCGTGTTAAATAACTTTTCTCCAACGAATTAACGTTTTTGTTTCAAAATTGTGTCGGATCCAACAACAGCCAAGAAGAACTGCAAAATGTATCATTCGATGACAAGTTCATTCATGAACGACTCTATGGCTATGTATGTTGTTTATGATAGCAATCGGAAAATAGGTCAAACAGTGAGTTTGAATATTTTCACTTCATCGTTGAATATTTCTGACGTATACCAATAGTAAAATCCATGTTGTATCCAATATTCTATTTCCGTAGTGAAGATATATCCCATTACGTTATACTTTTGTCACAACTATACTGCCATAAAAATAATAGAAAGTGTTCAATACCTTACTGATATAAAAAGAATTACAGGTTTTCAATACATAGCAATTCGCGCAAGGAGAAATTGCTTTGAGTTGTGATGCGTCCCGCTTTTGTTTGTACCAGGAACCCGATCAATTGCTTACTTGGAAAAGTATTTTTAATCGTGTTTTTGTTTGTATGTTTCTCAGCAACACTGATCATAGGTTAACCGGATGCAAGTCAGTGTGTTTTCACAATGGTGAACGTTATAGCCAGAGACATTCCCATCGAGACAGGTTCCGCCTGTTCTACAGTGCCCCCATAACTCATGGCTATCATGAATTCTAATTAAACAAGGCATGCAGCTGATATGCTTTACCTTTAAAAAGGGTTAGAAATCTCAACAAGAAACATGACACTCGTCTGACTGTGAACGACCAGGCATTACCTATCTTCTTAGTTGTCTACCGATTATAATCGTCGTATTTGCCAACTGATGTCATCTGTAGGAGTTGATAACTAGAAGAATATAAAACTTAAAAATATGGATATTATCTCTCTTTTTGGTCATTTAGGGTGGTTTCAAGTAAATGGGCATTCATTTTTTATCACAAAATACATTGGAGGTTTGTACATGGAATGACAAAAATAACAGGGTTATCATTGGTAGGAGGATATGTAACCACGTGTTAATATAAAGGTATGTGAGCCATCCTTTGTATATTTGTTAGTGAATTATGTTAATAAGTCATGTAGCTGCTATGCTTTACATTAAAAAAGGATTAGAAATCACAACCAGAAACAAGTATCTCACCTGACTGTGAATGACCAATGATACTCGATGTTTTTGCCAATTATGTCATATTTAAGACCTAATTTGTAAATAGAGAGTTGAAGTTGATAATAAGAAGAATCTAAAAATAATATGGATATTTTTCCTTTTTGTCATTCAGGTTTGTTTCAAATAAATGGACATCCATCTTTTGCCAAAATACATCGGAGATTTGTTCATGGAATGACACCATAATAGGGTTATCATTGATAAGACGGTATGTAACCATGTGTTAATCTATAGGTATGTGAGCCATCCTTTGTGCATTTGTCAGTGTATTATGGAATGCAGACAGTATTAAACAGGACTTCGTCTCTTTTGTTCAACACGCCCGCCTATATAACCACTTTACAAAACATTATTAAAGGTCTGTGTTCAGTAAATTAATAGAATGCTTTGTTATCGTTACACGCGATGCAATTTTTGTTTTGATTTGTGTATATTGTTGAACTCTACTGAGTACATGTTCCTAAAGAAGTAGTCCCACCTTTGTCAGTGCTATGTATATACGTCACATTCTATACGCGTTTGTACCATTGGACACCTATGATATGAATTATGTTTTAAAGGTAAAGTCCCTCAAAAGCAAGAACTTCTCTGTGATAACATGCACATGTGACATTTTATAACGTGACTTAGATTTTTTTTTTATAATTTGGTGACATGCATATGTCATTAATTTGTTTTTCTGGAGTACTACTTGCTTACATATCCATTATCAGGTGACAGGTCATATGACTGAAAGTACAAAATGTCGTGCAAGGAGAAAGTGATACAAGCAATCCGAATCATTGGAGGTTGCCCTGGACATGTGAAGGTCAGCTTGGTGCTAGTAGCCGTGACCTTCTGCATGTATCTGATGGGAATGTTTACTGGCAGCTGGTTGTCGGGTTCGACGCCTAATGTTCGCCAGGGACTGTTTAGTTATTGTATTCAAGATAACGAAGCGGAATGCTGTGCACATCTAGAGGACTTCACGGAAACGCAGAATACCACTGTACCAGGTATTGACGTAACATGCGCTGCCAAACACAGTATCGTGTCGTAAAATAACTCTCAACAACACAGTATAAGGTAGTAATGCTACTCGTAATAAGTGACAGGTCGTTATTTTACTTTCACTGAATACCACAGTAACAGGTAGCAACGATATTCACTCGAAGTCAGTATCAGATTAAGATGTTACTTCTAAGAACATCGTAACAGGAAGTAATATAATTCTCGCTAAACAACACAGACACAGTATCAGGTTTTCATATTTATATCATGAACAGTCAATATACATCACGTAGATGTTGATTTAAAATATAAATGTATCCATACGGCACCACGCATANCGTAAAATAACTCTCAACAACACAGTATAAGGTAGTAATGCTACTCTTAATAAGTGACAGGTCGTTATTTTACTTTCACTGAATATCACAGTAACAGGTAGCAACGATATTGAGAGGGGGGTAAGTTAGTTAGGGGTGTCAACAGGATTATCTACAAAACTTGTTAATTATCTATTTTAAACAAGTTATTTCAACTTATATTAATCACTCTTATTAGCCTCTTTTGGTGTCGGATGTTAGCGTTTATGAGTCGGAGTATCTGGAAAAAACAGGTCAGGCTGGCGACCCCATACCTTTTCATGTTCGACTTGTTGAACTTGTCAAAGTGACTTTCGACAAATCAGGGAAGTCTGTAGATTATAAAACGATAAAGATGCCAAGAAAAGTGAGGTCATATTATTGATAATGAGAACGATTTTTAAAAGTAGAGTTCCATCTTATGCTACATTCTCATAGGATTTTGTCAACGCCTAAATGTTTTGCATTGCAGAGCACATCCTTTCTGAAAACCATAAAAGTTATTGCGGAACAATATGATAAGTTATAGGCCTATTTTAAAGGTAACTGTTCATGTTTTGAATATTGCAAGTAAAACATTTAACCAATCTTTATAATAATTATATTACTTATGACATTCATTCATAGCATCATGTTCTATGAACAAATCCAATAATATTAGCATGTTAACAAGCTTTCCTATAGACAGTTAACGTCCAAGACATCAATAATGATAAAATTAAAATTAAATATCACTTGGATTGCATTTTGTTTGTACCTGGAAAAGAATCGGAGATCAGAGCAAAAATTTGTAAACCAATATGCACATGTCGTTCAAATCTTATAAGTTGAGCAAATGATAACATACATTAGCGGTAGGGATACTGGACAAGGAGTTTCGGCTCTCTAGCATTTGTACAGCGTTTCAGCTAGGCTAAACGAGGAACATTGGCTTCGGATGTAAAAAAATATATATTATAAACGAGTGCGTGGACCAACTTAGTGTCATGAAGACGAAACAACATGCAAGCTCACGTTTACTGTTGAAGAATTGGTTGTAGTATATTTTATAAACTCATTTTATTATTAAATGTAGACCAAAAATTAAACAGGAATTGATGATAAATAAAGCGGGAAAAGGTATTGTTTGTCATATAGTCTACGTATTTCGTAATTTTTCCACTGGTTAATAATATTGATGGACTATTATACTATTGAAGTGTTTATTGAAGTGCTCTGTACATCAGTTGAAAATTGTTATCTTTTTGGTCAATTCAATTGACGTTTGTTTAAAGAGGCCTGTAATAGGATTTACGTGTTGTTTATTCTGTTTCAGCATTTGTTCAAGCAACCCGTGCATTTATTAGTATCGGTTTAATAATGCTGTGTGCGACACTGGTCATTTGTGTGGTGACTGTAATGGTGTCGGGGGACAGAACGCCAAGAGGCAGACCTTACCTGAAACAGGAAGTGATGTTCAATATGGCTTGTAATGCGTTGTCATGTGAGTACAATGATGTTTGTGTCTTACTTAAAATTTTATTATCATATAAGAAACCTCAAACTCAACTTACGTTTCAAAAATAATACACATCACCTCATCATCCAACATCTCCCTAATAAAATGTATTTCCTCCCCAAACTACGTTTTCCTCCAAATTAGCAGGTATGATCTAACCAGGTTACGTTTCCCTACTAACACGTATGATCTCCTCAACCAATGTCTTCCAAATAACACTCGTCCTCCCCTCAACCTACGTCTCCCAAATAGCACGTATCATCTCCTCTATCTACATCTTCCCAATAACACGTATTCTTACTCAACCCATGTCTCTCAAAATAATACGTATCATCTTCTCAACCTACGTCTCCCCAATACCACGTATCATCTCCTGAACCCATGTCACCCCAATACCACGTATCATCTCCTGAACCCACGTCTCCCCAATAACACTCATCATTCCCTCAACCTACGTCTCCCAAATAACACGTATCATCTACTCAACCTACGTCTACCCAATAACACGTATCATCTCCTGAACCCATGTCACCCCAATACCACGTATCATCTCCTGAACCCACGTCTCCCCAATAACACTCATCATTCCCTCAACCTACGTCTCCCAAATAACACGTATCATCTCCTCAACCTACGTCTCCCCAATAACACGTATCATCTACTCAACCTACGTCTACCCAATAACACGTATCATCTCCTGAACCCATGGCAACCCAATAACACGTATCATCACCTCAAACCACGTCTCCCAAATAGCACGTATCATCTTCTAAACCTACGTCTTCAAAATAACACGTATCTTCCCCTCAACCCACGTCTCCTCAATAACATGTTTCATCTCCTCATATCATGTCTTCCCAATAACATTCATCATTCCCTCAACCTACGTCTCCCAAATAACACGTATCATCTCACAAACCTACGTCTCTCCAATATCACGTATCATCTCCTCCTCAACCTACGTCTCCCCAATAACACGTATCATCTCCTCAACCCACGTCTCCCCAATAACACGTATATTCTCCTGAACCCATGTCACCCCAATAACACGTATCATCTCCTCAAACCACGTCTCCCAAATAGCACGTATCATCCCTTCAATCTACGTCAACCCAATAACACGTTTAATCTCCTAAACCCACCCCTCCCCTATAACACGTACCGTTCCCTCAGCCTACGTCAAAACAAAGTCAATTTCAACTTGATTTGAAAATATTATCACACACTATAACTCGTGAATTGATCATCATCATAATTTATATTTTTACATGTATGGATAAAGGGATGAGCCTCTACAGTATACGTATACGTTTACGCATAAGCTTATACGTTTATCCGAAGGGAGCTATACACTTCGAAAATTCTTCTTAATTTGCTAAATATTTAAAACTGGAAGACACAATGTTTTGTGTTGATAGTAGAGTACGAGACACAAGCTACCCGATCAATACACTACTTTCACGCACATTTTATTCAGTGCAACAGGCTAAATCTCAACCGTATACAGATAGGTACATAGGTATATCGGTGACATTGAATACCCTGACCATGGTAAAAAAAAGACTGTTGGAGGACATGGATAGCACATCCACACAATTACTTACCTACAAAAATAAAGATGAAAACAACTGACTATTAATTATTTATTATCTAATATATCTGTTGCTAGCGTTACATGAAACCAGACACGCACACAAACAAATAAGTCTGCCCATCACTCTCCGTCTGTGTCTGAATAGTGTTCCAATTATACGAAAGATTCCAGAAGGTGAAAGGTGGGAGAGGCTAGTATGTTACTACTGAGTAAATGAAAATTCACAATCGCAAAATTAAAGTCATCCCGTTAAGTTTGGTCGTAGGTGGCCATCGTTGTCGTAAGATGGGTAAACGATAAGATATGAAGCTCCGATGAAGAAGAGAAATCCGTGGTATCCTGGAGGACATATGACATGTACAGTACAGTCATCAAATCTCATATAGCATGTACCGTAAAACATTTATATTTCGTGTATACTTCATTTCACGAGCAGACACCTCATAATTCATTCGCGTATTATATTAAATTTTGGGAATGATAGGAGAATCATACGTTACATGTTTGCTACAGTTATCTTATTATTCCTAAGGTATACATTTTCACGACGGAGTCCCGATTAACGCGAAAATAAATACCTAGCGAAATATTAATGATTTACAGTGCACAGTAATCAAAGTTCTCGTTATTCAAAGGCAATACATCATCAATATAGCTTGGCATCATCTAACCGTCTTATGAATATAATGCACGTGTAAGTAGTGTATTGTTCTCGTAGATCGTGCGCATACTCCACAATGACAACTGAAAGTACTTCTGACGTCTATATTGATCCCAAAATATCCCAAATATACAAAATAGTCAGAATTTTCAAATAATGTATGCACCCTTCGGATAAACGTATATATATAAACTTATGCGTAAACGTATCATATATTTTAGAGGGCTTAATTTTAATATCATCACAATACCAGCACATGTAGTGGCATACTTTCTGATCCCTGTTGTATTACTAGGTAGCTGATCCACTAAGATCTAGAACAAAATATATTCCAACGTTCTTGTTCATCTGTTACAGTTATTGCTATACTGATTGGAGTGATAGTTTATGGCGCCAGCTACCGGGACGAAACCTGGATGAGCCTTTTGGGATTATCCTGGTCATACGCATTCTGCGCTATGGCGGCATGCCTATGTATAGTCAACCTTGGGGTGTTATACACTTACGAACCACCTTATTCATCTGAATGAAAGTAACCAGATATGGTTACCACCTACCAGTGAATGCGGGGAAGCTGTCGAAGTGATTTTTCCCCTGATCAGTAGGAATGAAAACATTCATTCATTATCTATGTATTCGCTTTTTTGTTTAACAAAAATAGGACACATCTAACAAATGAACTGAGTAACATTTAGAAGTTATCATATGGCCGTTTCATACTCTTTTCCGTATAAGACTGAGACTCCCATATCAGCCTGAGGACTGAGACTGAATACAATTTACAAACGACTGTCGTGTGAAAACATGTTAAGTCTGTCGACATAAAATCCTACCATATTTCCACGACAGTCCTATGTTATATGGTGAAATTACCATTTCCATATTATACTTCCTTTTAGCTCCCCGCCCACCTCATTTCTATAGATTAGGCTAGGAAGCTGTTTATCAAATTTTGCATGATTATTGCACTGTCCTTGTGTGAACCATTGCAGAAAGTAGAGCACATTATTGACAAAGTGAAGTCATATTAAACAATATCGCCGTTACCTACTTATCGACTACGTGCTTGTTTTTTCAGCTATTTTATTATATGCATCTTAAGTGTTACTCAATACATCAAATTAGTGAGGAAATGTTTAAATATCTAGTTTTGTCCAAATTAAGTCAATAATGATTTGGATTTATCTATGATTTCTCGGAAACGCCCAAAGCTGACCTCAGTTTCATATCATATCATTCAGGTATTGCCATGAGTTATCTCTATGCTAGACGCTTAAACAACTCTATGCTAGACATCAGAAAGCCCGAATTGGCATCCCTTACTTGATGTTTATTTTCACGAATTAACATTCGGCCCTAACAACCAAGTCCTCATTTACTTGCATTGGTCGATCAAAAAAATTATTTTAACTTAAACATTGTCCACTAAAACATCTTCATTGCATAACCCCTACAGTTCATTTCAATATCATTTTATCATTTATATTACCAAAAAAGCTCTTAATTTTAAAAGCTCTATGTACCAGATAGCTAAAAGCACGTAAACGGCATACGTTTAGTTGCTGTAGATAACTGCAGCATGCATTCGTTAAACCACACCAGTAACTATTATAAAGACCTACTAGCATACGTCACTTTGGATTTCAATGAAACTACAGAAAAAAGCATAGATAAATTACACCCCTCTTTTCAGTTATAATGCTAGATAACATGCATGATATATATACATACTGTACGGAAGCCTGTAAGTGTCAATTACAAAACAAAAAAAGCTATCTCGTTTTGACACGTTTGTTATCTCGTTTTGACACGTTAGTTATCTCGTTAAAACACGTTAGTTATTTCGTTAAAACACGTTAGTTATCTCGTTTTAACACGTTAGTTATCTCGTTTTAACACGTTAGTTATCTCGTTAAAACACGTTAGTTATCTCGTTAAAACACGTTAGTTATCTCGTTTTAAAACGGAAAAAGAAGTAAAAAGCATGAGTGTCTTATATCAGTCAGTAACGTTTATTTCTTATCGTACCCTTTATAGATATGCCTTGAGGTGTGCCTTATTTCGTCACGTTTATGTTACCTGCAGCGAAGTCTCAGTCTCATTTGTAATACTGCAATCGCCTTTTGAAGGTTGAAGTCCGTCGTGCGTCCATAATTTGTTTTGTCTATTTTTCGGCTTTTCCTGAAATACACTAATTTCCTTCTGAATAAGAGCATACATGTAGTTTTCAGTCTTCCATTCAAATTAACATGCTCAATATAATTTTCCCCGGAAAGACCAGTGTCTGTATTTATGAAACCGTTCTCGTACTCAAACTCATTACATTTTTCATCATACCACATTATTTAAACGAGGTTCATGAAAATACAAATAAATTTTTTTACACGTAGAAGCTTCCGTATAAATAAGATAATAAGATGAATATTTCCGAAAATATTTATCATGCATTAACACGGTTGACTGAAGTCAAGAAATCAAGAAAAATGTATTTAAGGAGAACATAGTCAAATGCCAAAGTAAATTGTGTTTTCTTTCTGATCATAATACATCGAATGAAGCAAACATTTTCAATTTCTTGTCGGACGTGTATTCGATTACAACATTTTTTTAAATGACACATTCTATTTTTCATTTGTATTAACGTTGACCATGCACTTCTATAAAATGCGGTTTTCTATTATTAAAAGTATGCCATTTTACGAAAAACTAAATTTATGTACGTTTACCGGCGTGGCGTTTTGTGACTTCATATTTACTTGAACATGTGCACATTTTTAGAAGAAAACGAAGATTCCGTGCAATAACTCCCCAAAATTAGTTCGCTTTCAACCAAATTTGGTGTACATTCTTTTTGGCTTGTGTCAGGCTAAGTTTAATTGCTTTCCCTATGTTTTCATATTTACATTTGATTAGTGTACTCATATTGACCTAATTGGTTTCCATGCAAATTATTCTTTGAAATTGATTGATCCAAATTAGGTTTGCACATTTATATTTGCTAGTGTCAGGCTATCTTTTTATTCATGTTACATCGTATCAACTTTCTATAGGCTAATTAGTTTACATGTATTTACTCCCTCAAACATTTAATTTCAACAATGTGGTATGCACATTTATATATGTTCATGATATATATCATTTATATTAAGACTAAGGTTCATTTCCAATATGATACGTGCATATTGATACATAATAAATTTGACTACATACGTCTGATTGGTTAATTGGTTTCTGTGCAATATCTCTGCTAAGAGTGTTTGATATAAACTACATTTTTGTGCACATACGAATTAACAAGTATCAGGTTAAGTTCGATAGCCAGTTTGATGCATGTGTATTTACGCATAATAAATGAGGCTACCTAAATATGATTGATTGATTGATTTGATTCCGAGCAATAAATCCCATGAGCAGTTCAATTTCAAACAAGGTCGATGTACATATGCATATGGCTGGGTTTGGGAGTGTTTACAATTTCTTCATCTTAAGTATCTTTACACATCGAACTTCAGCAAAAACCTGAGACAAAAAAAGACATGTCTGCAAGTGATTCGCCATCCTGTTAAACTGTATGTCCACGTCAAACTGCAACTAATTAACGATATAATTGGAAAGATAAAGGAGGATTCTAAAAGATATATGACGTTGCTAACTTGCAAACATCGACGACATAACCTGTCGGAAATATACTTTCATTATTCTACGAATGCAAGAAGAAGTCGGATGGATCGAACTTTACTAAAACATGTCAGTCACCTCTCGTCTGGCTATTTCGCGTAAAAGACCATTTCTCCCTTTAAAGCTCGAGAGATATTAAAGATATCCGTGCACTTGTAAAACTATTTGTGCTGTTTGTGCTGCGACACTTGGTGGATTGACTTACACTCTTCATTCATATTTTGGTGCAAAATTATTCATGACTTAGTTTGATTGGGTATTAGACACTACAATATGCCAATTTACCGAGACGAAGTCAAGCCTAATAATAAAGGCACTTTTGAATGTCGTTGTCATCCTCGCTGGAACACATTACAAAACCGCTATGTTCAGTGTAATTTCATCAACGAATAACTCTTGTCCAACCAGCCAAACCGTTGGAACGCCATTAAATCGGAATGATATTAAACTATTTCCGAATCCGAAGTTACACCATCTACAAAGTTTGAACGGTACATTGGTAATGTTTATACATGGTATCGTAACATGAGTGCCCCCCCCCCCCCCCCCCCCCCTTATTGCTTCATGTGCTCACAGGTTAAATCGCTTGATCCAAAGTGAATTGTACAAACCTTGACTTCAATATATCAGGGACCATCCTCGATTTCTACTCTTCCCATCACTACTTTGGATCCATTTATTTTATTCGGATATTTGTTGATCAGTACACAACATATGCCCTTATTTTGTATTCCTTTCATATACGTGTTGTGTCTAATGCAATGCTACTCTGTCGTCTACGAGTTGATGATTTTGTCTGACAAGAAAATAAAAATGTATCCCGAAGTCTTTTCTACCCTTTGCAACCGAAACACTTCTACGACAGGATCGCACTGTTGACCGAGTTTTCAAATCGGTAAACCTATAAAACCTATCCAAATTAGTGACTGTTATGCTGTGATAGCTACTTATGATGGACACAGAGAATGGCATAACAATATTAACAACCATAATATAGCCTGTATTCTATGATTGAAAGTACAATATAACCACCAGAATAAGGAAATATTCCTTCTTTTAATTGTTTTATTCGTTGTTGAAAACTACATGTAATGAATAAATACATTACACAAGATAATTTCACAAATCAAAATGTATTACTTATTGTTTAACAAGTATTGGTGATACGGTGTTTTCATTGACGCTCGTCATATTTACCATGCTATTTATTGTTTTGAGTTACCATATTCGATTTTTCGGTATTTCGTCTGAACCTACTGTACCATCCTCATCTTTCAAGTCTTCCGAACGAGCGAGAACTATACTTCAAATCCACGGCCGGATATACTGCCGGCCTGTCGTGGTGTGGCGATGCGTTACCATTGTGATCGTTAGTTTGACGTTAGCTATCCTCATGCACGATTCCTTCGGGTAATGATACGACGTCACCACCGTGACCAAGGATATCGCTGAAACATATGTAAATATGGGCATATACTAGTCAGAACCATCTACAATAGACATACATTACTGTTTTCGCAAACAACTACACTATAAACTATGTTTTAAGTGCATATAGCATATAACAACAGCAATACTATTAACTAAAACTAATATAGGTATATTATAGATAGGTCGTAGCACTAAATGTACTTAATACATTATATTTACATTTGCATGGCATTGTCACTATATAGCCTCTTTGAAAGTTGTGGCGTTGATGGGGCTTTAATTACCATGCAGCACGAGACACAATTCTTAGCGTTTTAATACAACACTGACCGGAACTACAATATCCGATGTAAATAAACATGCCGGCTGTTGAAATATCGCTGGGCATTGTGAGACTTGACAATGTAATTGTAAATTTATATGCTAGCACGCGTTATGTTGTTAGCTTGCAAAGCTGTGTCATTCAAATAGATCATAAATACCATACAAAAACAGTTCAATGCTTAAATACATACATCGCACAGTGACAAGATTTTGGGACTTTTTTTACATGCGGTACAGATGTATGATTTATGAAATTGTTTTTTTAATTTATTTGCTTTCAATATAAACGTTACCAATGTCTGAATGACAAATTATCATTTGGAGAGAAACATGCGTGTCATGTTCACTAAAATATATATTATCTTGGAATAAAATGCATTTTCTTACAACTCAATTTGGATTAACGTAGGATAGTTAACGAGAACTGTCGTTATTTATGGTGTCTAAGCGACATTAATTAAACACGATATCTCATGTTCATTTTCCGTTACCCATCTTTTTTCTGTGCCTTAACTGAATGACTGAATGGAACGTTTAACCTGACATTCTATATAGCATATTCGTCATATGAATTTCATGAAATATATATAGAGAATATCTAGCAGTCTTCCCGTTGGTTACAATATATATTTCACGGATATGGCAGAATACTGATATCGTTTCACGAGCGCGAAGCACGAGTGAAAAGATAAGTCAATTCTGAAATATGCGAAGCACAAGTGAAAATATCGGTATAATCTGCCATATGAGTAAATATTTACATTTGGTGTGGCAAAGCCCTTCTATATTACTACTAACGTACTGCCAATAGCAGCTTCATCTTATGAGACTATAACTGAAGTTGGTCTTTGCACCTCCGAGCGACTTAACAGTGTCACTACCGAACGTATCGGTATCTTCTGCTTTGATCCCGAACACCAGCTGCCTGTCTCAAGTGTCTGTGTGATCAACAAACAATTGTACGCCTGGATTTTTCACAAATTCAACCTTCTCCGGTTGCACGATCAACATCAACAGCATGCCTGACTTCAAATATAACTCTGACCTGATTACTGCTGGCTTCCGTTGAGTGCATGCGCCAGATATAGGTCGCAATAAAATCGGAAAATGTTTTACGACACTTGATTAGTTACTTACAAAATGTTATTTGTTACTATGTATGA